CCTCCTTCTTAACCCCCGAAGGCACATATTGTTACCGGGTAATGGCCTTTGGGTTGAAGAACTCGGGCGCCACTTACCAGAGGATGGTCAACCGGCTTTTTAAGCCACTCCTCGGTAAGTCCATGGAGGCCTATGTGGATGACATGCTGATCAAGAGCCCGGGCGCGGAGAACCACCCGGCCGACATGAGGCTTTGCTTCGAGATTATGGCTAAGTACAACTTGCGTCTCAACCCCAAGAAATGCGTCTTTGCTGTAAAGACCGGTAAGTTTCTGGGGTTCATGGTGACCAAGCGTGGAATTGAGCCTAATCCGGAGAAGATCAAGGCCATAACCGAAATGAGGTCGCCCAGTTCGTTGAAAGACGTACAACGACTCACCGGTCGGTTGGCAGCCTTGAGCCGTTTCCTCTCCCGATCTGCTGAGAGGGCCCTGCCCTTCTTCAAAGTATTAAAGAAGACCAACACGTTCGAATGGGACCGGGAGTGTGAGGAAGCTTTCCAACAGCTGAAGGAGTACTTGGTCTCTGATATTGTGTTGTCAAAACCCAAACCGGGTGAGACTTTGTACTTGTATCTGGGAATCTCCCAGAATGCTGTAAGTTCCGTTTTGATAAGAAATGAAGACGGCCAGAGGCCTATTTACTATGTGAGTAAAGCACTAAATGGGGCTGAAAGCCGGTACACTGCCATTGAAAAAACGGCATACGCACTTTTTATAACGGCCAAAAAATTGACCGCATACTTCCAAGCTCATACCGTGGAAGTATTGACCAATCAGCCACTTGGACCGGTCCTCCGGAATTCGACTTCCTCGGGAAGATTAATCAAGTGGGCAATGATGCTCACCCAGTTCAAGATAGAATATAAACCGAGGACTGCCATCAAAGGACAAGCCTTGGCTGACTTCCTCGTTGAACTGACCGGGCTGGAGCCCGAAGCCGGACCTTCCCACACGGTCGAACCGTGGTGGGATATGGCCGTTGATGGGGCCTCTGGACCGAGAGGATGCGGAGCCGGCGTGGTCTTCACTACCCCGGAGGGATTCAAGATCTACCATGCCCTAATCTTCAACTTCAGACCCACCAACAATGAGGCGGAGTATGAAGCTTTAGCCGGTGGTCTCAGATTAGCCCGGGCGCTTGGAATAAAAAGGATGAAGATCCGTTCCGACTCAAGCCTAGTGGTTGGACAAGTCAATGGTGAGATGGAAGTAAAAGAGGGTCGCCTGGCCCGATACGGTGACTTGGTCCGAGCGCTTCTAAGGGAATTAGAGGAGTTTCGTCTGACTAGGATACCCCGGTCTGAGAATGCTGATGCAGACATGCTTTCGAAACTAACGCAAGCTTGCCCGGAGCATGTGTCCAAATTGGCGAAAATTGAGATATTAGACGTACCAAGTACGGACCGGTTTGAGGTTACAGCCATCCAACCGGGCCAAATTTCATCATCCGGGATAATCGGGGCAGACGATGATTGGAGGTACGAGCTCATGGAGTATTTGGAGACCGGTCGGAAGCCTAATGATGAGGAACGAGCCAGGAAGGTAGTCCTACGGGCTCCACGTTTCCAGGTGATCGACGGCCACTTATACAAACGAGCGATTGGTGGACCACTCTTGCGTTGCCTCACCAATCCGGAGGCTGAGCGGGTAATCGCCGAGGTACATGAGGGAGTCTGTGCAGCCCATCAAATGTCCCGCACTTTGGCTCAAAGGATAATCCTTCTAGGCTACTACTGGCCGACCATTGTCGGGGATTGTGAGAGGTATGTCTAGAAATGCAGAACATGCCAAGTTTTTTACAAACATCCCGGCAGACCGGCCACTTATTACCAACCCACCTCAAATGTCATACCGTTTTCCCGGTGGGGGATCGATATTATTGGAGCCTTCCCGGTTGCCCAGGGCGGAAAGAAGTTCGTGATGGTGGCTATTGACTACTTCACCAAATGGATTGAGGCTGAAGCAATGGCCACCATAACTGTACGACAATGTGAGAAATTTGTTTGGAAGAACATTATCACCCGGTTTGGCTCCCCAAAAATCATTGTCACCGACAATGGCCCACAGTTTCGCAATCCCCGGTTCACCGCGTACCTTGCTAACTTTGGGATCAAACATAGCAAGGCCTCGGTAGCCTATCCACAGGGAAATGGACAAGTCGAAAACGCTAACCGGACAATTGTGGACGGCCTAAAAAAGAGGCTGGGTGAGGAAGGACACAAGTGGTTGGAAGCCTTGCCTCACACGGTCTGGGCACACAGAGTGACTTCAAGAAGAGCAACTGGAGAGACTCCTTTTGTGCTAACCTACGGATGCGAAGCCCGGTTACCGGTAGAGGCAGAAATTCCAACATTCAGAGAAACTGTCTATCAGCCCGGTCTGAATGAGACTGAGCACCTAGCTGAGCTAAATCTGGTAGAAGAACGAAGGACCATAGCAGCTGTCAAGATGGCCGGCTACCAGCAGTCAGTGAAACGGTATCATGATAACCGGGTAGGGCCGCGGTACTTCCAAGTACATGATGAAGTTTTGCGTAGAAGGGAGGCTAGTAAGCCTAATGAGAGGGGCAAGCTGGTACGAAACTGGGAAGGGCCCTATCGCATAAAAGCAGTTGTCAGGCCGGGCACTTACCAGTTGGAAACAATGGAAGGTGGCCGGGTCGAGCGACATTGGAACTCTCACCACTTACGAAAATTTTATAGATAAAGTGTAATGAGTTCCCAGCCATTAATAAAAGTTCGTTCTTTTCAGAAGAATTGTTCTCGAATATATATTATCCGGTCATCCGTCGCGTACCGACCTACCCGGTTAGGTGTCCAATCGAATTGGACATCGTAAAAAAAAAAAAAAAAAAAAAAAAAAAGAACCGTCTGACCGGTCTAAGGCCTCATCCGTACTTACACGGGAGTTAAACATTTTGGCTTTGCTAGTGGGAGAGCATCCCGGCCAGTTTAAGCCAGATGTTTGCAAAGAAAATTTGAGGTTTACCTATCTACACGGGGCGTTAAGCCATTGTGTAAACAGGTCGGCCTTGCGAGAACCCGGGCAAGTACTTATCCTTTCGCAAAGGATAAGTTAGTACGCCACGGAAGGTAAAGACCAAACCGGGAGGAAGTAAGTGAGACTTAGTCTTCCCGGTTGGATGTCCAGTCCTTCGGAAGGATTTGGGTCAGATTATGTTCTAAGGCCGGGTCGTTACAGCCGGGCTGTTATCTACTAATCTAAACGGTTGAAGAATCCAAGATAGAAAAAGAATGAGACAAAAAATGAACAAAGCACTCAGCACATTATGTAACAAACATTTTCATTAATATATCAAATCTTACAAAGGTGCCCGGAGGGCGATCATTACATTATAAATAAAAAAAAAGAGGAAAAAGAAAGAAGAAGGCCGGATGGATCAGATGCCCGGGAAAGGAGGTTCAGGCGCCTCGTTGTGGAGCTCGGGCAGAGATAGAGCTTTCGGCCGAAAGCCCTGAATCCGCTGCTCAAGGATGCCATATAGAGCCTTCCGCTCAGAGCACTGGCCACATTCGAAGCCATAAGTCCCAATCTCGTCCACAATGCCGGCCGAAATTGGGTGCTTATACAGACCTTGGAAGAAGCGGATTGCTGTCTCCCGGTCAGGAAGTGCCTTGGCAGAAAACTCCTCCGGCGCTTGGACAGGCCAGGCAGCGGCAACGGCAGCCCGCTCCGATTGCTCTCTCTCCAGCTCATCGCTCAGACGAGCGATCTCCTCAGCCGACCGGGCATTGTCGGCCTCTAGCTGCTGGATCTTGGCCTGAGCCTGCTCGTCGGCCTCTTTCGCGGCCTTGAGAAGGGCCTCGTGTTTGGCGTAGAGCTGACGGTAGACCGCGCAGTGCTCCAGTCACTTCGCATCCGTCTTCTCCGCGAATTCACAGGCGGCCTGGGCATCCTTCCGGCATTGGACCATTATGGCCTCCATCCGGGCCTTCTCCTCATCCGTCGACTTCACCAGCCGGGCAAAGTACTCCTCCCCGATCCGGCTGACCTGCTTTAAAGACATGGAAGGTTTTTCAGACAACAAAAAAAAAAAAACAAAACAAAAACAGTAAGGAAAGGGGGATTACCTCAGACAGGTCGGAACGAAAAGCTTGAAAAAGCTCCTCGTTCGACCGGCTCATCAGAAGTGGAGACCGGGGGACTATGGGTCCTTTACCAGCGTCGGAGGCCTGGGGCCTTTGGTGAGCCGGCTGGTTGACCTCTTCAGTCCTCCGCCTCTTCCGCTGGAGGGACTCTTCAGCAGCCTCTTCTTCGTCTTCGCCCTCCACGTTGGGCTGGCCCGCCTGACCGGCTTGGGAGGTACGCCCATTCTCCCCCATCAGAGTGTCAAACTCGAAGGTCTCTACATTGAGGTAGAGATCCCCCGAGTGAATGGGCTGGCTGGTTCCTTGGTGGGATTGAGCCGGCTGGGCGTCCAGCAGGAACGGTTGGCTCGGTGGAGTGGAGAGTGGCTGAGCAGAGGAGGGCTCCTCGACCACAATCTCGGGGACGGCGAACTTGGACTGGAACTTCACCACTGCAAGAAAAGAAACCGGTTAGAGGAAAGAAGATACTAGACAGAATAATTCAAGTGAAAAATATGAGAAGGGCGGTTGATTGACCTTTCTCCTTCTTCTTCTTCGCCGGGCGTGAAGGACCGGCGGCGGCTGTGGCCCTGGCTTTGGGTCCCTTAGCCCGGTTGATGGGGATGGCTTCGGGGATCATCCCGGGCAGGACAATCTCTGGCTCGGGGTCGGTCTCCCGGCCGGGGTAGACACCCCACTTCCCAACGTGGTACTGACCGCGGGTGGAGGCGTCCCCGGCCCGGAGAGTGGCTTCCCAAGTAGCCAGGTCATCAGCCTCCGCAGGTTTGACCTGACGCCTCATCCTCTTCCCCCAGACATTTTGGGCGAAAGGAAATGAAGCCGGGGGGAACTTGATGGATACGTATTTATCCTTCCACCTCTTGTTAGAAGGTGGAAGGCCACAAAGGAATGCCCGGCCTTGGTGGGAAGACACCACCACGAATCCAAGGGTTTCCTTGGACCCGGGCCGGACATCGAACATGTGATCGAACAGACGCAGAGAAAGGGGAATGCGGAGAAAACGGCAGACGTTGATGAAGCTGCTCAGAAGACGGTGACCATTTGGGGCCAATTGCCCGGGCATGATCCCATAGGTTTCAAAGAAAAGGACTTTGAATGGGTGAATGGAGAATTCACCCAAGTCCTTGATCGAATGGTAATGGATACCAATCGACGTACCAGTGTGGAGAGGTATGATGCTCTTCCACGTCGCCCGGTATGTCAATTGATACCCATCAGGCATCAGATTACGCAGTTCGTGGACTTGAGACTTCTGCATAGACGAGGGCAGCTCTTGGAGCAGCCGGTCGTCTAGCTGGATGAAGCCCTCATCCACGATCTGGGCAACCGAGACCACTTGCGCCGCGGAAGAAGAAGGAGCGCAAGCGGGGGCGTCAACCGGCCTCTTCTGTGGAGAAGTAGCCGGGCACCCGGAATCAGAGGAAGAAGAAGAAGAGGAACTGGATGAGAGAGACTGGCCACCAGAACCATAGGAGTGGCCCGACTGGTTCTGGCTATCCTCACGATCAGACATGACTCAGAAAAGGGGAGAAAACTTACTTGGAAACGGTTGAAAGACTCGGAGGACTCGGAAATAGCAGGAGAAGCCGGGCAGTTTTTTCTTTTTTAATCGAGATTTGCAAGTGAGGAAATCCCTAGGAGAACGACGCTTTATATAGGGGAGATGCCGCCTAGACGGGCAAATGAAGAAGTGGCACGTGGCAACCGAAACGATTCGTCATCATACCCTCTCGGGGAGACGAAACGGCACCCTAAATCGGCGGATCTGTACCCGATTTCGAGAAGATTCTCCCGCCTTGGACGCCCGGTTTTTGAAATTTCAAAATTCAAATTTCAAATTTCAAATATTTCGGGTGGGCGCTGGTTTTCCGAGGTGATTTTCCCGCCAAAAGGTGACTGGGCAATTTAAAATTCAGAGGATGATTGCATATGCTTCCCGCCCCTGATGGTCCCCACAGGACCGGGAATCGGAGGACTCCTTGATGGGTAATAACCCATGGATACCACCCGGTTGGTTCGTCGACTGGGTGGTTAACGAAGTGACGGGACGCGTCCTTCTCAGACCGGGCTGTGAAGCCGGCAGGTCTGTCCGACTGACTGGTTGGTCTCGCTGCTCACACCGAAAGAAATGCTCTCCAAGTGCTCTTATGCGACCGGTCATACAGGTGACCGGTTGGATAATCAGAGACGTGCTTGACGTGCTTAATTATGTTATAAATACCCCCAAAACCCTCATTTGTGAGGTATGTTTTAATTAACCTACACGGCTTGTACTTTGTAATAGTCCTAGCATCATTAATAACAAACCGGGTTACAGGTGTTTCCACCTACAGCCCTTCCGACTACTTTTACTTAGTGTTTGCGTGGTAATTTACACCATCACCCGAAATAATATTTTTATATTCTTTCACTAAATAATAATTTTTTAAAAAAATCAGTTCAATTTCAATTATGTGTAAATTATACTTTTATTTGAGTGTTAGTTTTTGTGTATGAACATAAAAGTATTCACAAAGATTAAAAATACACCTTAGTTGTCGTTCATTTTTTTAGTTTGTGAAATATAAATTAAGTTTTGATACGCATCCCTTGCATTTAAATATTCATTTTTTTAAGTTTTCATGTTTTTTTATTTAAATTCACTTTTAATTTTCAAAAATAAAAGGGACGTTGTTAAATTTTAATGTGTAAAGTAGGTATGTATATTCATCCCGATTTGTACCGAAACCGATACCAAACCATCCCCAACCATACCGAATCGATATTTTGGGATCGGGATTGGTACTGAGTAAAATCTCATACCGAACCAAAATATTTGGTACAATATCTGTACGAGCTAAATACAGTACCATACTGTACCATGCTCACCCCTAAAAGCTATGGATTGTTATGACTTTGGGGGGTGAGGAAAAGGAGAAGGAGATGCTAATATATAGAAGCAGGGGTGTTCATCGGGTCAAACCCGGACCGAACTGGCCCGGACCGGGACCGGACCGGGACCGAATAAGGGACATTTGGTGGACCGAGGACCGGAAAGCTAAGGACCGGACCGGGACCGGACCGTTAAAACCCGGACTGGACCGGGACTGGACCGAATAAATGTTACTTTTAATTTTTTTTAAATTTTATTTTATTTTTTTAATTTAAAGTATTCAATTGAATAAAAATATTAGTACAACTAATTGTTAATTGTAACGTACACTAAACATTATCAAAGACAATTTTTTTAAAAAAAAATTAAATAAAATATATATCTTTCATCCGTATTGCATAAAATTTGTTCATAATTTTTATTTTGCATAGGAAATATTCTTCTTCTTAGTACATTTTTGTTTTTTTGTAATATTTTTTGAGTTTTCGAATTATTTTGACAAACAAATACATTTTTTACTATTTTGTTCATGAAATTGTTTAAAATGTTTGTTCTGCGGATTAGAATTTTATTATTGATAAAGTACAAATTTAAGTTATAGTATTGGTACATAAATTTGAAATGAATAATATCGCTAATTTAAATGTAATGTTTACTTTTTCACACTTTTAATATTAAAAATATTTAAAAATCATTACAATTGGTATCTTATTTTGAATTGAAATGTTTTTAAAAAATTATATTAAATAATAAATTCAAAAAATTTAAAAAAAATCTAGCATTAAAGTAAAACTAATTTTAGGTATAAGAAAAAACTTTAAAAAAATACAGTATAATATTATAAACTTATATAGAAAAAAAATATTTAAAAAAAATAAAATCTAACCGATCCACCGGTCTGGACCGAAACCCAGTGAACCGGACCGAACCGAAACCCGAATAAGGAAAAAATGAGGATTGGAGAACGGACCGAATAAGTACTGGTCCGATCTAGTTTTGGCCGGATTTCAGGTCGTCCGGATCCGGACAGAACAATGCAGACCCCTAATAGAAGGAAAAGAGGAAGAGAAGGGTCCATTATGCAATTAAGGGAAAAGACGCCAGAAGGAATCTATTCACAAAACGCTCCAATCCCTTTTTGGGGTGGGCCAGGGTCATACTGTCAACTCCCGTTCCCAAACGGTCCATTCCTCCTTCCCGGCTTCCCCATGCGGCCATGCCTGCGGTCCAATCTGGCCGGGTAAGAGGCCTTAAATGGTGGAGCAATCACTGATCATGGTAAAATTTTAGGATCAAATTCCTAAGAATGGAAAACATGTTCGTTGAACATGAAATATTTTATCCCAATTAAAGTTGTGTTCGACGAACACAATTTTGACTCCCTAATTAAACTTGTGTTCAGCGAACACAAGTTGTTTTTTTAATTAAATTGCAATGCTTAAACCTTAATTTTACGGACTACTCCCTCCGTCCTTAATTAGATTACATTTTTTTTCTCTTTTCGATAATTTTTGTTTGTTTACAGAATTTTATTAAGTATTACGGAGTATATTTGATAAAATAAAATATTCTTGTCATCTCTTGTTTTGTAGAATTTTTGACGTAGTTTTTTAATATGTAATTTTTATATCTTATTGATATACCAATTCGTAAATAAAATGATTTCAAAAAGTATAAAATTTTACTCCATGCACAAACATTTTGATAGTTTACACTGACACAAGTGTTGGCTGGAATTACAATTTGTATAACACAAAAAAAATTAAATACTCCGTATAAGTTATATAAGAGTATAACACTACCTATTTAAAATAAAACATGATATAAAAAAATAAACATACTACGTATTACCCATCAGAGATCCAGAGTGCATTTACTTTTGAGTGGGAGGAGCACTCAAGAGTATGTAACATCTCGAAAAAGTTGGCCTAAATTTATTTACTCATAACTTATTTTGTCAAATTACAGAGAAAGAATATTTTTAAGTTTTATTTTTATTACTTTAATATGTAAAAAAATAATATCAAAATTAATACTCCGTATTCAATATTGGTTATGGTGAATACATCTCAAGAGATTTTCAAAGGCATAATAGTATCAAATGAAATTAAGTTTATATATTTATATAAACATATTCCATATGTATAATACTGTATGTATTTGAAACAGATCACGATAGTTTAGCACTCTTTTTTCTATATGTATAATTTACTAGTGTATCGCCCGTGCGATGCACGGAGAGATAAGTCTATCACAAATTCAAAAAAGATGTGAAAATAGTTGATATTGAATATTACTCCCTCCGTCCATAAATAAACTTTACGTTCATTATTCATAGGGTCAAACTTTATTCACTTTGTTGGCCTATTTTCAGCACTCATTTGATAAAATAATAAAGTCTTGTCACCTCTAGTTTGGTAGATCTTTTGATATAATTTTTTAATATGTAATTTTTATTTTTCAATTCTACACCATTTTTCATATAAAATGATTTGAAAATAATTCCAGTGAAACATCGTAACGCGTAATGTAATATTTATTCGTGGACGGATGGAGTATTCAATAAATAGGCAGATATGTCCATCTGCATACATATCTTATTATTTATTTAATTCTAATTAAAATTACTACCATAGAGAATGTGATCTAAAGTAGACTATATTCCATACCTAATATTCAAATGCATTAAAGTAAACAATGTATATTTAACATCAATTATACATTTCCGAAAACCTTCTTATAAACTACATTAACTGTAGTAAATCATGAAGTATTATCAGAATTAGATATCAACTCAAAGATATGTCTAACATTTTGCCCATACATCTTCAGGACGAATCAATGAGTCAGAAATAAGCAAGGTTGCAAATAAATTCCTCAAAGACGTCTCGGAGAACCAGTTACTTGCATCAATGCTAAGTCACTAATATAACCCTTTGTTAAATCACTTATAAGAGAATTGTCAGAATCTATTTTGAAAATATTTATTATAATAAATCAAATAAAACTTTTTTTATTAATATTAAATACTACCTCCGTCCCTGAATATTTGTCCAATTTTGACTTTTTTGGTCAATTATTTTCAACCTTTGACCTATAATTAAATAAAATATATATTGCATTTTAATTAAATAAAATAATATTTTAAAAATATTTTATATAACAAATCTAATAAAACTCTTTTTGTATCAATATTTAATATCATTTTTATACGGAGTATAATTCGAGGTCAAATTTACTAATTTTGACAGAAAAAAGTCAAAATTGGACAAATACTTAGAAACGGAATTAATATAATTTTTTTTAATTAGAGGTCAAAGTTTACAAATTTTGACAAAAAAAATTATAAATAAACAAATATTCAGTGAGAGAGAAGTATTAAATAAAAGCAAGCCCACAAAATCGACCGGCCCAACATTTTTTAATGGCCCAGAACGGAAAAATATAAAACCCCTAATTTCCAGGGTGATTTCCCTGTTTGTGTAAAAAGGATGCATCTGATTCCTTTATATGTAATTTAGAAGTGTACTTTCCGCCAAAATACCAACCGGATTTGCCTAATCCGTTTTGATGTAGATTATTTAACCAAACGGATTAGGCTAATCCGTTTCACTTATTTAATCACCAAACGGATTAGCCTAATCCGTTCCTATATTTTTTTTTTGTAATTTTTTTTAAAAACTGATTTGTTGCTTTGTTCCATTTTTTTTCCCTTTTAAATTTTTTTAGTTATTTTATCTTCTTTTTTTATAAACCTCTTTAACAAATTAAATCCATTTTTATAAATTTTTTTTAAATTTTCTAACTTTATTTAATTAAAATATTATATTTTAAAATTTTTATATAACGATATTAAAAGAACAAGACAAGACACAATAATTTTATTGCTAGAGTACATATAACAATTTATTCATAAAAAAGAAGAAGGCAAAACACAATCCATGACCAACTTATTTGTAAAATTTAATAATACATAAACTAAGACATAATTGAAATTCATGACAAAGCTATTCTTCATTACGATGTCTCCGTGGTCGATAGTCCATGTTATTCGGAAAGCGGGTTCTCGTACGTCGGCCGGTTCGTGTGGTCTGTCGTGGTGTTGGCCTCAAGATCTCGTACTCTGGAATAGGCCATTGAGACTCATCTGGTAGCGGCATTATGATGCCAGAGTAAGCATTGATGTAGGACTGAATTGAAAAAATATTTGGAATCAAATGATCCACGGTGACATTACAAAAATGACATACTGCGTGGACATGATTGCACGGGAGGTGAAATGTTACCCATTGACCACAGCTACATGTTCGTGCATTTAAGTTCACCGTAAATGTCTCCCGTTGAGCAATGTAGGACGACCCATCCACCACCACAGAGTATATCCCTTGTTGTGCGTGGTGCTGCACAACACGACAATACAGCCTATTTTCTTCATTTTTCCTAATATGTTTCCACACATTAATAGGAAAATTGTACCCGGATTGCTGCCATACATACCCATTGGTTCGCCTCTCAGCGAAAAGTTTGACCAGCTTATCATAGGTGAACGTCACAATGACATATACTGGCAAACAACGACATCCTTTAAGGACATGATTGAAACTTTCTAAGAAATTTGTAGTCATTACACCATAACGTGACCCACCTTCATCATGTGACAAAGCCCACTTGTGTTATGGAATGGCATTAAGCCAATTGTAGGCTTCTTGATTTTTGGATGCTATTTGGAGTATCAACTGGTCAAACTCACTTCTATTCGGGGCTTTACCAGCTTTGTACATCAAGGTCCGCAACTTCTTAATTCGGAACTTATTCTAGAAATTGCTGCGTAGGTGGCGGAGACAATATCTTCGAGTCACTCGACCTCCACCTAACTCTGGGACATTTTCAAATGCATGCTCAATCCCACTGTGTCTATCAGATATTATGCATACACGACGATGTGGGGGAACGACATGACGCATGACATTCGTCAAGAACCATTTCCAACTTGGACCATCTTCAGCATCAACAATGGAAAAAGAAAGGGGAAAAATTTCACCATTTCCCGTCGTTGCCATGGCAAGTAACAAACATCCCTTATACTTGCCGTATAAGTGAGTTCCATCTACTGAAATAACATGAAGACAATATTGAAATCCATCTATGGAAGCCCTAAAGGACCAGAATACATACTTGAACTGAAAAGAAGTTGGTGAATCAGTTGACATTGTTTGTAAATCAACAACAGTTCCATGGTTTGACCCCATAATTGCACTGAGCAAGGGAGCCAACTTATTGTACGACCCTTCCCAGCTACCATACATTCGTTGGATGGCTAATAACCGTGCACACCATGCCTTCTTGTAAGACACAGAGATCTGGAACAACTCATAAATATCCCTGATAATGAGTTTGACTTTATAGTCAGCATCTTCTTTAAATTTTGGACCAATCAGGGTACTTATGAGTTCACTTGTTAATAATTTGTCGTCCTTTGCTTTTGTGTAATCGGGTCTGCATTGGTGGTACCCCTGGTATTGCTTTATGGTCCAAATACTTGTCCCTGCATTCTCTGCGGCTTGGATGAACCAAGTACATTGGGGGGTGTATACACAACTAGCTCTCCAATAACGACTCCGTTTCGCAACTATGCGAAAGTTTCTATGCTCTGCAATGTTACGTAATGACACAGCTTCTTGTAAACTTTGAAAAGAAGAATACGTATTACCAACCTCAATAATTGGTACGTGGAAGGTTGGTTGCAAAGATCTATGCGTTTCACGTCGTTGGAATTCTTCTAAATGTGGCATTGCAACCTCGTCCTCTCCATCCTCTCCTTCATCTGATGATATATCCTCTTCCTCTTCTGAAGAGCCTTCATCTTCCTCTAAGGGTGCAACGTACTCAGCATCATCCGGATCACTATCAAGGTGTTGAGCGTAATGGGATGAAGATGGCTGATCAATTGGTTAAACAACAGGGTGGTAAGGCCTCGACATTCGGATACGGCATCCAAACAAACTGCATAATTAAAAAAGGAATACAATAGACATTTAAAATGTAATATATATGCATAACACTGTGATGTGTTTAATACTAACCTCTCCCTCGAGCAACCTATCTAGCTGGTCTCTGTACACTCGTAATGAGTGTGTCGTACAATCTGACCACCGATGATAACACACCCATCTACCAAAGGAGGATTAAACATTAACATGAATAAATACAATTGAGTAAATGCATGATAGACATAAATAAATGGAAAATACCTGACTCCGTATGGAACATTATCAAGCTGCTCCAATGGTACAACCCCCCTAGGTCTAGTCATAGGCAGATGTTCCCATGCCCAAAGCTATAAGAGGATAAGACACCCTCCAATCTGAGATACATGTGTCATGCTCGCACGACACATACTACGATACAAGAAACTGAGAACCGCAGCACCTATGGCACGACCCCGCACCATCACAGAGTCACCCATGATTACCTCCAACAGATACAAATTAACCTTATTTCCCGTCGTGTTGGGAAATAAGCTGCCACCCATCAACTTAAACATGATAGCTCTAGTATGCTGTTGGTAATCAACTTCATCACTATTTTCTGTCAGCGCCTTCGGATGAATTGCAGATATCTTAATCGTAGAAGATGTAATATCAGATGGTTCGGGTCTAAAACCCATCATGTCATGACAAATCTGAATCCAATGATCTCTTGATCGACTGGTGCCCCCCGACAATGGAATGCCATCAACGGGCAATCCTAGTAAAACCTCAACATCTTGTAGCGTAATTCCCACCTCTCCAAAGGGGAGATGGAATGAATGGGTCTCGGGTCTCCATCTCTCCACTAAAGAAGTAATCAGAGCCCAATCTAACTGTAATCCACCTACCTTTTCCACCCCATAAAATCCATAATCCCGTAAGATCTTTATGACACGAGGTGGTCTATTAGCAACAAGAGTCCTCGGATATATACTAGAACAAGTCCTATGACACTTTAGACTCTTTTTGGCATAATCTTCGTCCGCCCATACTGCATCACACCTATGTACTCCGCCTTCAAGAACTAAAACATCTCGTGAAATAGGTCCCGGGTGAACAACCATTTGCTTCAAAAATTACAGAATAACAATTTTTTCATTTCATAACAACTCATTTGTTTCAAAGATAACAACATAAGAATTTATTCATGTAATACAAACACACAAGTATGCAATTATAAAAAAACTCACGAAGTAACTAATTATGTTAAAAATTATGGAGTATCTTAGAATCTCAATATTTAAAAATTACCAAATTTTTATTAATATATATCAATTACAACAAATAAATTCACCCAACTTGGTAATTCTATATAATTTATGTAATTTTATAAAACAATATATATATATATATATATATATATATTACTAAAAAATAAAAAAATACCTCCATGAAACGGATTAGCCTAATCCGATTTGCCCTAGGCGGTTGTCCCTCTCTTCTCTCGCTCGGCGCCTTCTTCTCTCCCGGCGGTCTTCTCTCCTTCGGCGCTCCTCTCTCGCTCAGCAGATGGAATGGGTGGACGGAAGTGGCTGGAATGGGAGGGGATGGTTATCCGATTGGAGACGGAGTAGCCTAATCCGTTTCTCTTTAATTTAATTCCAAACGGATTTGGCTACTCCGTTTGGGGATTTAATTTTTTTAAAATAAGCTGAACGGATTACGCTACTCCGTTTGGTAAATAAAACCCAGAAACGGATTTCGCTACTCCGTTTTGTTAAATATTTTCGAGTAGAAACGGATTAGCCAAATTCATTGTGCACTGACTGGAAAAAAACTTCTGACTTACACTGCGAGGAATGGGTTTTTTCTTTTCTACATATGTTGGTAATTTCCCCTAATTTCCAAACCTTAACTTTTCTTCCGTCTTCACATCTGTGTCGCCGCTCCCCACCATCTCACTAAACTCTCATTTCCGTCTTCATCTATCTGTCGCCACTCTCCTACCACCTCTCTCTTATATACTCACCAAAAAACCATTTTGTTCTTGACGATGCAGACATGGATTCATTTCCAATTGTGGTTTGTTCAACCTCGATTTTTTGGATTGTTTTTGGCGCAGGTTTTATTTAATCTTGTTTTAATTAAAACGAATATAGTTTTAAACTGTGTGATTATTGTTTTTTGTTCTTCGCATACATATATCTTCCGATTTACATCTTGAGATCTATATATTCTTTTAGATATATAGAGCTTTAAGTATTTATTTATTAGATCTTTAAACACACACACACACAGATATATATATATATATATATATATATATATATATATATATATATATATATATAATTCATTATATATAAATGAGGATGTCTAGATTATTAATTCATTTTATATCCATACAAATGAGAATTGTTTGGGGATGCTATTCATTGAGAACCCCCATGTGTGCGTTCTCCTGGCCTTTTTGAAATGGAAGACAGTAACTTTTTATTCCCATGGAAGACAGTACCTATTTATTCCCATTTACAGAATGTATCTTTTTCTAATGTCAGTAACTTTTTTTTAATTTATTCTGATTTAAATTATAAGGAGGATCTTGTATGCACATTGTTATTATGAATAATGTATAAGAGGATACAGTTTCAAGAGTAATAAATTTCTCATTAATTATGTGACAATTTTTTACAAAACCAAGGTTCCTTTTTTTACTTTCTAAAATATATTTCTAAAAAATTTCTCATTTTTTTGTTTGCTTAACAGTTAATTTTTACAATATAATTTTATTTTCAATTTTAAAGAAATATGTCTAGAATTTATGTCATTCTCGGGTAATAAAAGTACTTTTAAATTTATACACACATAATATTAGTCTATTCATCTTCATATTCAATTATAATAATCTTGAATTACATATCTGTTAGACAAATAATTCAAAACAACATTTATATGTTACAATTTTTTACAGCACCAAGGATCCTTTTTTTACTTTCCAAAAACTATGTCTATGTGTGTCTCTGAATGCAAGGTTGGTTAACATGATATGGAAGGACTGAAAACTGGTTTTGGGAAATTCTGGCTTTTAATGTTTGAGGCATGGAAGAGAATGAGCGTAACTTGGCGTAGCGCAATGAGATTAATCACCGTTGTAGTAGCCATGGCGGTATCGTTTCTTACATTGCCTAAAACATATCATTTTTTGTGGGTGTGTATGAATATATGGCTGTGATGATATAATGTTTTATATAAAATCCGTTTAATGTGACTATTAAGCTTTCCGGAATGTTTGAATCATCCAAGAAACCAACAAATCTTGGCATGGCTTAACGGGATTAACCGTTTTTGCAGTCATGGCGATTTCATTTCTTATATGACTCAAGTATAAAAACGGGTTTCAAAATCTGTGCCTCTATTTAAAAACACATATATGCAATCAAAACCGCAAAATACATATTATGCATATATGCAACCAAAACTGCATTTCTGGATACACACCATCTACATCTTACATATACATATAGATAAGACATGTTTCTTCATAACTACATAGGGGATCCTTTGAAACCAAACTGAGTTATACATTTGCTTCCCAACGAAATCCTCCCAGCTCTTTTTCTTTGTGTGTGCATGGCCAGATTCCACAACACCTAATTCCAAACACTTGAAGTTAGGTTTTTTGCAACCATTGTGATTTCTTTTCTTATATGACTCGAGTATGAAAATGGGTTTCAAAATCTGAGCCTCTATTGTAAAATACGTATACGCAGTTCTATAAAAACTAGGGGTGGGTTCGGTTTTGGCGGTTCGGTTTTCACCCAAAACCAAAGACAAAACGGAAGGAAATTTAACGGTTCGGTTCGGTTCGGTTTTGCCTAAAAAATATGTAAACCGTTGGTTATTCGGTTCGGTTTTGTACAGTTTTTATTTCGGTTTTTTTCGGTTTTTCGGTTTTTGAATGTAGAAATTTATAAGCATTAAAAAATGTAAAAACACTAACTTGATGAAATAATAACAATATGTAGTGTTAACTTTGGTTTTTTTGTTTGATTTTTACACAAACAAAAAACCGAACGGAAGGTTATTGTTCCTTTCGGTTCAATTTTACATATAAAAAATATGTATTGAGTACCCAACAAAAATTTAGAAGATTTTAATTACTTCCAAAGACATCGTATGTAAAATCCATTACGAACAATTTATAACAATATGGTTAGAATGTTTAATTAATAGTTAAGAAAATAATTTTAATCCACTAGTAATTTATTTGTATTTATATTTCTATTATTTTTCTATATATCACATATATTCATATAAATAAAACAAAGTATCTAAGAAAGTTCGGTTTATTCGGTTCGGTTCGGTTTTGCAAAGTGAAAACCAAAACGGAACCAAACACTTGCGGTTCGGTTCGGTTTTTTTACATTCGGTTTCGATTTTTTCGGTTCGGTTTTTTTTCTAGCTCGTTTCGATCGATTTCGGTTCGGTTTTCGGTTTTCGGTTTTCCCAACCCAGCCCTAATAAAAACTGCTGAAAGGCTTAATGCCATATCAAAAGTGTGATATACATATACATGGATAAGAAAACCTCCCTCGTTGCTGCAGCCATGGCGAATTTGTTTATCTTTTGGCCTCAAACTTAAAATCCGAAATAAAAATCTGAGCCTCTATAGGTATATTATTGTGTGTGTGTGTGTGTGTGTGTGTAAAGAGCTGTATTTTTGCGTATATCTACACAGATATGGAAAGATGGAGGAAAAAATCAGGGTTTTTGGAAAGTGATGTATTGAGAGATTGAATGGTGATGTATTATTTATAATAATAACTGAATCTCTGAAATGTGGAATAGGGTTTATCAGAGTGACATGGGCCGATTTTGGGTTGAAATTGGGCCGAACTTGTGGCCTTTGCAATGTCATTATCTGTGGATCACCCATGTGGGAAAAATTGAAGATTCAAAGTGGGGCAGTGACAGTTCATTTTTATAGTATATTTGTTGACTACTTGGCTTGGTTTTACACGGTAGATGAGAATTGTGAATTGTATACTTAGTACGCAGTATTATTTTTATTTTTTGTCCACAAGTGATTGTAAATGTTTTTGGACTGAGATTTTTTGTGCAACTGCCATGTGTACCAATTTATTAATAGCCAGTGGATGAAGAAATCTGGCGGGAAAATTGGGAATTGCAATTGGCATTGATTTCTCATGGGCTTTTATATATATACTAGACTCGTACTCGTGCGATGCACGGACAGTAAAATAACTTAAATTTAATTATGGATTGGAATAAAAAATTGTTACAAAAATTTAAAAATTACAAATTTTATTAAAATTGCCCAAAATAAGGTATTGTACTGTCACGACTGTAGTCGATATGCAGTGTTATAAGTTTTGGAACACTTCTTTATAAACTACGGAGTACATTCGTAGTTTTGTTGGTTGACGGAAGGTCTTTATTGCAAATAAAGATCTTTAACCCTCGCGACTTGTAACACGTGGAATCGTAACATAGAGCTGACCATGACTGAAAACCAAAATATTTCACTTAAATAGCTAAAAATATGAAAGAATAGAGTAGTAAGACATAGAATGATGTTTAGAAGATAGGTAGTGTTCGGAATTTGAATTGTAATTATGCAATACATAAACTAACTTAAATATAAATTTTTATTTGTAAAAGCAATTTAAAATCCGAATCCTTTAATTGGTTTAGAAAGGCTGTTTTAGTAATAACAAATTTTATTTTCTATAAAAACCATGGACCATTATTTATAAAATTTTTTGTGTTCTTCCCAATTTAAAAACCTACACCTAAGGATAGGAGAAGCCCAATTTACTTGCCCAACCTACGCAACCCAGTTTGTTCAGCCCAAAAACTATTAAAATATCTATCTCTACCCTAACCGTGGCCATGTTTTGGCCACACAAACACGCCGCTCTCAGTTCGAAGTCTCTAGATCTTCCGTTTTCGTCTCTTTGAGAACGCCGACGATGGAAGAAAGGAGAGAGAGAGACAGACTCTGGGAGGAAGTGAGACAGACACTCAGAGAGAAAGAGTATTTCCAGATGTTAGATGTAGAGAGAGAGAGAGAGAGAGACAGAGAGAGAGAGAGAGGGCTCCGAGAGATAGAGGATGTCATCGCCGGGTTGTCATCGCGGTCTTCACCGGTATCTTCATTTCATTGTTCATTAATATCAATTTTTTCCTCAGTTGATACTCCCATTCATTAAGGTTTGAATTTTTGTTAGATTCGTTTATTTCTAAATGATTTCTAAATTTGAAAGCCCTTTTTTAAAACTTTAGAACCCTTGAATATTTTAGATTTGTTTAAAACAACCATGCATGTGAATTTTTGTAAATGATTAATATTAAGTTTTTGCTTTATAAGTTTAAATCATCTTTTAAAATTACGGTAAATCGGTGGAAGAGAATATGAATTTTCTCCTTCATGCCTTGTTCTAAAGGCATGTTCATTCGAAAAAATATTTATTTATTTGGTCATAATAAGATTAATTTTAGATACTGTTAAGTTAAATTTCGAGCCTAAATTTTGATGTTTTATTGAAGGAAAAATTCTTATTCTCATTTACTACTTGTAAATGTTTATAACGTCTTGTTTAATTCATAAATTACAATAATTTATTAACATCATATGTACATTGATTTGGATAGGTAGTTTTGTTGTATTTCCAGCATCAAGGTTTATATTTCCTTGTTTTCAAAAATATATTCGTGGCATGTTGCATTTAAAAGTCATGATTTTATATATAAATGTTTTATTTTTTTCTTGAGCCAACAAAAAGTAGATGGAATGTTAAGATATTTTACAACAAACCGTAAATATTTTTTTGGACAAATAAGATTATAAAATTTTGTTTAATTTTATAAACCTATTTATGTGGATGGAATATAACATTTTTTATGAAATTAAGTATTATTTATATTAATAAATAATATCCATATACCAACATTTGACAAACTAATATTTCTGATTTTTTTCCATTTAATACAATTTTTAGTTTGCTGTTGCTTGGTTCATTCTATACTTTTCACAATTTTCTATATATATTTTAATCTTTTCAATAGGAATATATATATATATATATATATATATATATATATATACACACACACACACACACACACACACACACACACACACACACTCTGGGTATATGTTTAATCTTTTTCTTGAGCCAACAAAAAGTAGCTGTATTACATGCAAGTGTACTCTCAAACCCAATTAATCGTGTGTATATTCCTTGCTCCTTTTCCATCCATAAAACTTGTTCATTTAGCTTTAAAAGTTGTACCATGTAATTCACTCCCCACCTTGCCCTAACACTGTTTCTCTTTTAGGATAACTATTTCCAAACTTACTTTTTGTGAGTGAATCCCACCCAAGGCATTTATTTTCATCTTCAATTCATTGCTAATCAATATCTCAATAATAAATGCTCAAAATAGCCTAAATTACCCGTGGTTGGATTTAGGCAGCCAAAATTATACATTTTTTGATTGTCATCTCACCGTTATTTTTTAAAGAATATATGAGGTCATGAACAAAGACCTCCCAAATTCCATAAACACCATTTTCCACAATTTGATTCTCAAAATGTTGTTTTCCGGTTTTTTGAGATGCGTGTGAATCCTCATGCCCTATACAAAGAAAAAAAATTTAGATTAGAAAAAGTCGTTAAACAGGAACAAAATGAGAATATCATTTTGAGATGCGTTAAACAGGAACAAAATGATTAAAAGCAAAAAATTGAGAATATCATACATGTTCATCGTGAAAAATGATCTCCATTGAATCTCCGCCGTTGGTCCAAACAGGAACAAAATACCCATGCACGGCCTGTAACTTGAACATCAAATTTGTTCAAGTGTAGTCAAGCTCGGCAACGGGAGACCATATACTTAAGCAAGACGTTTGAGGCATTTGATGATTTTTTAGAATGTTTGAGAAGTGAATTTGTAAGAAATGAAGTTTACATCACAATGCTAGAGTATTTATAATACATGCTCCATGATTTTTTTAATCAATCATTGAATGCTTTAGATACTAAAAATCTTTAAAGTAGATGGATTTGACACAAAATAAGTTTTTTTAAAATCAACTTTATGGAGTCACTAAATCGTGGTTACCAATGCAACTTTATGGAATATGGCAATTGAATAGACATAAAGCAAAAAGCTGCTGTGTAGAAAAGCTGAAGCACGTCCACCAATGCAGTCTCATATCCGTCCACACAATGGATTAGATTGGATTGTAATAGGGATAATGCTACTTGCACCCCAAAAGTACCCCAAATTGTACCCCAAAATAAAACCTCCACCTTACACGTGCAAGNCACCTGCGAAGTAATCCCTCACCCCCATTTCCCCCACCTAGTTCCTCTACCTCCTCGCCTAATTCCTCTTCCGGTGTACTTTTCATCTTCTTCCGCCGATTCGCCTCTGCCTTCCTGGTCTCTGCCCTCCTTGTCTCTGCCCTCCCCGTCTCTGCCCTCGTCGTCGATTGTGCCCTCAACACCGATTGTGTCCTCGTCTGGCCTCCTCGTCTTTGCCGTCGGTGCAAGCTGTCCTGCTCGTCCAAACCGCCGATTGTGTCCTCGTCTGGCCTCCTCGTTACCGTCATCTCTACCCTCCTATCTGCCGGTGGTCAGGTAATTGCTCCTCTCAATTGCACCTTTTTGCTCTAACATTATTTGCATTACATTAGTGAAAACCTAAATGCAAAGCTATGTAGTTTTCTACTTATTTGCTGCCAAATTCAGGTATGCCTGGACAATTGTTGATTTTTGTTAACAAATTAAAAATTTCTTGAAGTAATTTTTTAAACTGCCTGTGCAAAGTAAATGCAAAGCTATGTTATTTTCTACTTATTTGCTGCCAAATTTAGATATGCCTGGACAATTGTTGATTTTTGTATTTGCCCACTCCCAATTTTTGTATTATATTGTCTTGTTTTTTGTTTAAAATGTAGGTTTATGTACAATGGCATTGCAAATGGTAAATGCAGACCACTTCCAAGCACAGTATACATGCTATTCCGAGCTTCAGAAATCAGTTGACATCATCAAAAAGAAACTCACACCTTCAGACCTGGATAGCTTCAAGAAGGATTCCCCTTTCGGCCACCTTCTTGAGTCTCCACCATTGCAATTTTCAGGCCAACTCATCCATCTGTTGCTTGTGCACCTCACAAGAGAACAGGTAGATGATGAACTACGTTTTAACATAGGTGGTTCGATTTTAAAATTTGATTTCGGGGAATGGTGTCGCATTATTGGAATGCCCTCTACCAAGCTTTATGGAGAGGATGGTGGCGATGAGGATGAGGATTCTGTCTCGGGGAGAATTCGGAGAAAATTTTTGGGAAATGATAAGGGGAAAACAACATTTGCGCATGTGCGTAAATGTTTTCATGCTCTTGATGAACAAAATGGGGGTGATGACGTCCTTCAGTTTGCTAAGCTGTTTTTTGCGGAGTCCGTGTTACTAGCTAGAGACAAGGGGACCGGTGTTGAAATGTCTCACCTTCACCTCTTAGGTAGCATTGACAAGTTCAACGCTTATCCTTGGGGGGTGGGAGTCATATCTTCTCACGGTACGCCATCTGAAGGCAGCTATGGAGGGGCAACCGGCTCGTTTCTTGTCAAAGCTAGCTGAAAACCCCAATATGAAGACATGCAAATTCTCTTTCTATGGTTTTCCCTATGTGTTGCAAGTGAGTATGTCTGATTTATAAATCTTTTACAGTATTTTATGTACTTCATTTACTTTAATAATAATTATAAATTTTTTTTGTAATACTTTTAGGTTTGGGCTTATGAGCAATTCCCACAACTTAAAGGAGTTTTTGCAGACTTTCATGAAGAAATAGATGGTTGTCCATTTCTGAAATGGGGGTCAAAAAAGTTCCCTCAATACAACCAACTAAAAGAGCTAATTATTGGCAAGGATGAGGGAGACATATCTAAGAAACTGGTTGGTGATACATGAGCATATATATTCCTTAATTTAAATACCTGGTGGTAGTGACTTAGATTTATTTAATGTACTATTCTTTTGCAGGAGTATGCGATACATCATCTTGTTTCGGAGGTGGTGCATATGCGAAAGGTTATGGATGCAAAGTTTGGAGACCTTAATGTCAAGATACAAACGCTTTCTAAGAAAGTAGATGTGTTGTTAAAGAAGAAAAAGAAGAGGACACACAACACCACACAAGCAACTGAGGAGGCGGAGGAGGACGAGGAGGTGGTTGGAGATGCCGATCGTGAGCGGGTTGAGGAAGACATTGAAGAAGATGAGGTGGTGGGGGATTTGGAGGATGAGAATGAGGGGGTGGATGAAGATAGTGGACCTGAAGAGTGTAAGGAAGAGGTCGGGCTGGAAGTGGAAGAGGACGAAGAGAGCATTAGACAACGAAACAATCGAAAGCGGTCGAGGGTCGTAAATGATGGAGAACCGTTTGAGGAAAAGGAAACCGAACTTCCAATGCCATCACCACCCGGAATTGAGGTATTAGTACATGAAACTCCTTGTCTTCATATTTATGTGTGATTTTCGACCCATGCATATCTCTTTGTGTTTTTGGAATAAACAGTGTTGCCATTTTTTTAGCAGAATCCACAAAAAGATTTGGAGGAAGCCACGGCGGAGGTGCAAGGGGTAATTCTTTGGTATGCCATCTCTATAATCATAAGTCTAAACCTTTTCACCATATAAGCAATGTATATTGAATAGACATTATTATGTAGCTTTATGAGGACAACCTTATTGATACCCAAGAGTATGCCAGACAAGTGTTATCCCCTGGTCCCGTAGAGTTTGTTTATGAGCAAGTAAGCCACATCCAATAATTAAATTGTACAACTATTTAATTTTGTTTTTCAAAAAACCTTATGTTTTGTGTCTACTTTGTGTATGTAATGGTGACCAACGTATAGGATGAAGACGTTGAACCTCCAACAAAAACCATTGTTGTTACGAAGGTAGATTTTTTTGTTATCTTTCACAGTGAACTGTACTTGCAACTTTTATTATATAAGGTTTCACTTTTTTCACTTATAACCATGGCACATCTTACTTTTACATTAGCCTTTGGCCCGGGAAACTAGGCTACGGAAGAAATCTCGGTACTGTCTAAGCCCGTACATCAATCCAACAATGGCTATGAAGGTCAAAGTACACTGCAATCCTCTATCCATTCAGGTCACCCCTAGTGAATGGGAACAATTCAAATGTTGGGTTGAAGAAGAAGATGAGAAAAATCCAAAAAAACTCAGCCTGCAGTTTCACTATGTTCACGAGGTTGACCGTCATTTCTTCAGGACTTTGTTGGGCTATGATTCGTGGTTAAGCAGTGATGTAAGTTTTCAAAAATACAAGCTTATGCTTTACAACAGTGCATTAGTAATTTAGTATTTTGCTCTAATTTTTGTCTTTCGTATTAGCATGTTCAAACCATTGTTGAGTTATTGATGGATGGGGTTGATCTCATTGGAGTGCAAGGCCGATGTTTATATGGTCCAATGTTCACGGTATTTATTTCTAAAAAAACTACACATATTAATTTTACATGACAAGTTCTAATATTTTTTTTATAGTATCATCTCACCCAGAAAAGTTCTTCGGACCATGCTTGGCTACGGGATAAGATGCTACGGAAGTTGGATTGGACCCAAATGGAAAAGGTAATTTCTTGTTGTCAATAACTGTAGGTGCAAAACTTATGAAACAGATTTGCACAGTCAATGCGTGCTAGGTTAAAGAACTGGTTCTTACTTATGTGTTCTGTGAATGGATTTATTTGTGTAGGTCTTTATGACTATCCATGCTAGTAACCGGCATTGGGTTTTAGCAGAGCTTGATTTCCCCAATGCCACTATTTGGGTATATGATTCCTTGAAAAGTGCACAGAGCAAATCCTATGTGCGTCCAATCCTTGAAAGGCTACCTCCCCTTTTTCGAACTGTCAAAACTACCGAGCAACAGAGACGTACCCAGGCATGGGCAGTGGAGCTCCCCAAGGATGTACCCCAGCAGTCCGATGGAAATGCGTGTGGTGTTATGATAGTTGCATTTGCGGAGTACCTATTGGCTGGTTTGCCACTACTGCCTGACTGCACGTACGAACATGTGGACGACTTCCGTAGGCAGTATGCAGCACGTATATTTCGGAAGATAGTGGCCTAAAGATTGTGGAATATATATATATTTTATTAACGCACAACTATGACGGCTTATCTCACCTTGCTAATATATGAAAGGCATTTTTTTAGCCTTGTCTAGATTACTCTATGTATGAATATGTATTGACGCATGATCAAACATATAATTTTTTGTTTCTATGACATGTATGACTGCTGAAGATGTAAGTTTATTATCTCAATCAGTGTTGTTGTTTTGAACAAAATCCTTATCCTAAATATATTCAATGTTGGTGGTATTTTTTATGAAATTAAAGACACAGGCAGTTAGTGTTGGTGTATTAAACCAAAACAATTGCACACGGACAGTTCGTCTTGGTGTATTGAAGAGAAACAATAGCACAGAGTCAGTAAGTCTCTTTGTGTTGAGTAGAAACAGTAGCACACTGGCAGGAAGTGTAGGTGTATTCAACAGAATAAAAGAAACCTCCTTACAGGATGAGTAGGACACAGACTCTTAGTGTTGGTGTATTGAAGAGAAACAATAGCACACTGACAGTAAGTGTAGGTGTATTGAATGAATTAAATATTCAATCAAAGGATGAGTATGACACAGACATTTAGTGCTTGTGTATTGAACAAAAAACAATAGCACACCGACAGAAAGTGTTGGTGTATTGAACAAATTAAAAAACATTTACAGCCTGACATTAAGCAGAGCATAACCAACTTCCAGCCTCACATTAACCAATGCTTTTTTAAACAAAACAAGAACAGACACTCAGTAACACAACAAAACATATCCACTTCCACCCCGACAGTAAGTGTTGGTGTATTGAACAAAAAACAATAGCACACCGACAGAAAGTGTTGGTGTATTGAACAAATTAAAAAGCATTTACAGCCTGACATTAAGCAGAGCATAACCAACTTCCAGCCTCACATTAACCAATGCTTTTTTTAACAAAACAAGAACAGACACTCAGTAACACTACAAAACATATCCACTTCCACCCCGACAGTAAGTGTTGGTGTATTGAACAAAAAACAATTACTTCAACATGTTAAACTGTTACATAGCAATACTAGCATTTACATATTGTTCAACTTGCCCACACAATATGTTTATTTACATCATCTGTAAGTAGTGAATACAAAATATTACATAGTGATACTTACCAAAAAATGTGTGAGCAAATGCATAGCAAAATATTAGCAAAAAAAGATGGGCCATCTACCGATTCATAGCCTGAGGTCAAGATTTAGGCAAGTTAGGTCATACACAACATCTTCTCCCGGCCAATCCCACGTAGGCATATTTTCACAACCTATGTCACCAACGCTTGTAAAAAGGGTTGTGGATGACTGATCAGGGTTTCCCCGCTTGCTCTTGTTCACCTTACGTTGTTCACTACTTTTTTTCTTATCGTTATCATGTCGAATCTTCTTGTCTTGCTTTCTTTTCCTGTTTTTATTCTCGAAAACAGATTTCAGCCTATTTTTCTTGGGGGCACCTTTTCGTTTCGAATAAGTAGGGTCCAATATAGCTTTGGTCAAAGTTTTGTCCAATTCCATGTTCTCGGGAATACGTTCCTCACTTGCCTTTCTCAGAGATGGGATAAGCAGTTGTTTATCGATCCAAGCCACAATATCTTTTGTGCGTTCCTCATCATCAGCTGCGATCTGGGCAAATTCTTGGAACTTTGCACAAAGCATGTCATACCTCCTTTGCTCAACTGTACGGGGCAATCCATCATATTCCATCCGAACAACTGTGTAAGTCCTCTTAATATCTCGTCGCCATCTACTGAGAATATACGTCTCTGAAAGGACTTTTACATCGTTTTGGATTAGTACGCACAAGCAATGCCTGCAAACATGAAAAACCATTAAGTAAAAATTACATAAAACCAAAAACTCACCTAAAGACGTGGTAATACATACCTGCAAATCGTTCCTCTGAATTCAAAAAGATGACATTCACATTTTGCAAAATTTGTTTCCCTGTCGAATTCAACCTTAAAGTTCTTCCGTTTGTGAAATCCCTCTCCAATTACGTCTTCTCCTACCGTATACAATGAACCATTCTCATGACTCATAATGTGACAGTACATCTTTCCAATCATTTCTGTTTTAAATTCTTGGAACTTGGATATAGTGTAGACCGTTTGGAGCTGTTTCTCGATGGGATATGCAGAGGCACATGGCAACGTCTTTGCAAATGATATTGAATCAGCTAAGAATTCTTTTTCACACTTGTTCCTCAATGCACGCTCATATTGTTCAACAAATTGCATCAAAGTTGTTTTTGAGTGCACATACCCATCAAAAAATGCATTCATGCTCTCACTCCTTTGCGTAGACGACATACCTGCAAAAAAATTAAGAGTTAAATTCACTATATTACGTATCTTCTCATTTTAAAAAGAAACCAAACTTACCTGCCCAAAATGTGGTTAGCAAATAACATGGTACCCAACGTTTTTTTTCAAGAAATAGTAGGTTCAACCAATCATTATCTTCAAGCCCATATTTCACGATCATATCTTGCCAACCATTTTCAAATTCCTGCTGGTCATGAACATCATATACTAAATTACTTAAAGTCCATAGGATCTTGTCTCTAGCATCATGGTTTGCAAACTTAACAGGGCCTTTCTTCAAAATATGCCACAAACACCATCGGTGTTGGGTTCCCGGGAACACAATCTTAATTGCAGCCTTCATAGACTTGTCTTGGTCTGTGATGATACCCCGTGGGGGAATTCCACCCATACACTCAAGCCACGTACGAAACAGCCAAACAAATGATGGAGTCTCTTCGGTGCACACCAAACCGCATCCAAGTAGAATAGATTGACCATGGTGATTCACACCAACAAAAGGAGCAAAGGGCATGTCATATTTGTTAGTTAAGTATGTTGTGTCAAACGTTATTACATCCCAAAGTACTTGTATGAATCTCTAGATCTCTTATCAGCCCAAAACAAATTTTTTAAACGTGATTCTTCATCTAGATCCATACTATAAAAAAAACCATCACATTGTGCTTGCAATTTCTGAAAATAAGCTTGGATTGCCATGGCTTCTCCGGCACATATTTTAACTCGCCTCACTTGCTCCACGTAATTCCGGCAATCCTTTTCAAGAAAGGTCAAGTGGTCATAACCCCCTGCTTCTACAACAGTCGAGTTGAAGCTTTTGTGAAGCGGGATCCCTGCAGCATCATTCACCTCAAGACGTCTTTTAACGTGGT